GACGCAGAGTCCTTCTATGACACATTTGTGTTCTAGGCATCCTAACCAAACATTGTTTATGAAGCCAATGTGTTTTTAGCACATTGTTGCATGGTTTCTACGGTTTTCCGTATGGTTGCTTGATGATTTCTTTCTGGCCCAAATCTCTCTTATGTTCACACTTGGCACACTTAGTTTGGTTAGATTAAAACATCTCTTTTGTGATTGCTCTGTTAGTGCGGTTCGTTTAAATAAGTGTGATGTCCAGTGTCTATTTGTTTTCCAGAAGTTATGAGCAATGAATAAATGTCCTTGTACTTGTTTAAACTATAGTTGTGCGGATTGTGCAATCCCATGGATTGTTGTCTATTAGAGCTATGAACTTTGAATAAATCTGTTGAATGGCTCGTTACTTGAATGCAATTCGCAAGAGGAACTTTGTAGTTTTTGTTTTCATCTGAGCACTGAAAATGGTTTTGTGTGCCTTACTGGTGGATTTACAGTCTCTTGTTTCCTTTGGTTTGCTTACACAGTTCTGTTTTACCAGATTATGAGTAGGGCTGTCGCGATTCGTCGATTTTATTCGACTATTCGATTTTTAAAAATCCTTGACTTCATTTTGCTCGCATCGACTATATAATAATAGTCCGGCAAAATACCGGAAGTGGCGCATTTCACAGACAAGAATGTATAAAACACATTATTAGTCTGTTTTTCAAGGCTGCATGATATATTAAACCCATTTAAAAATCATAATTAAGCATAATTGTGAATTCACAAACGTTACGATTTAATTAAATAATAATATGCGATGCAGTTCTAATACAGTATATGTGCTTTAATTATTTACATGAGTGTAGGTTAAGTACGTGTGTCACACAGCGGCTCTGTTCACAGTAGTTCCACAGGAACTGTTATCATTTACTTGTGTGGAGCGTCTCAAACTCCATCTCTGCATGTTGTTGTTGGACATTTGAATGAAATGGTGCTTGGTCAATATTAAACAAGGATTTGATCGTACAGCAATGTGTAAAAACAATCGTCAGGCCCTTGGCGCCCCTTGCAGGCCTTTGTTGTAATGCGTAATGTACATTAGAGCGCGTTAAATATCGCATGCGATTTATCGTGCAGCTCTAAATAAAACCATATGATTTTTTACTTTTGATACTTTATTTGAACTAATTATTATTGCCTCATTGCTATTATATATGTATTTTAAGTCATATTATGAGCTGTCATTCATATGTTGTCATGGTTTTACTTCCAGTATTTAGATTTTTGCAGTCATACCACACCTTTACTCAAAGTAGCATATATATGCTAAGTCTTTGGTAAATTTAGTCCCATATAATGGATGTTAGCTTGAGGTGTCAAGAGACACCTCGAAGGTTCTGTCGTCAAGTTCTTCATTTCAAGTCCATTTTGAGCTGGCTGTGATCACACCTACCCAAAGCAATTTCAGGAGGTGTTTTGTTAGTTCATTAGCACTGGAGATGTTATGAGCTGTAACCTGCATTTTAGAAGTTTGTCAAGTTCAATATGGCTTGACGCAAGTTAAACTTCATCTCATAATAGAATAAGAATGGTATGTTGTTTTAAGTTTAGCCTTAAGTACCTCCCAGAGAATTTAGGCTACTTTAAGCTAGTGCTTTAGCTATGAATGATATTACCATCAGCTTTGTTTAACTCAATTTACCAGATGTTTTAAACTGATTCCCCTTCAAAATCTGATTTTGAACCTTGACTTTTAAACTTCCTTGATACAGTTTATACATTTTGTGCATCAAAGATGTAGCTCAGTGGTTAGCGCATATGCTCAGACACCCTATTACATTTCTTCTGTACAAATAGAATTAAAAAGCAGATTTTTGCTAATGCTCTTTATTAGATGTGTGGTTGACCGTGGCTAGCAGAGTAGAAATCCTGCAGCACGTTTGTGCTCCAGCTTGAACTGAAGCCAAGCCTATCATTGGTGAACAAGGTCTAGGAAAAATCTCTTTTAAGGAGAACCACAATGTTGCCTAAACAGCTTCAGGATCCCACATTGACGGCTGGATCCAGAAATAACAGGAACTAACTTGGTCATGAGGCTTGTTGGTGTGGATGTGCTATTACAGAGGTGAAAATGGAAAACTGGTTTGTTTGGGACATTGCAGCCATTATGTTTTTCCTAACTTTGTGCTTCCAACTTTTTTCCATGTACGTTACAACAACAAATTTACCAAAAAGGCTTGCTTGCTGGTGGAAAATCCAGCTGGTAATGAATTTATAGCTGGACATTAGCAAGTCCAAGCTAGCCATTAGTGCTGATAACTTGTAGAAAATCTTTGACTAGCAGCAAACCAGCCTACAGTTGGTTATGCCATCTTAGCTGGTCTACCAGCTTGGAAACCAGGTACCAGGTTCCAAAAAAAAGTTGTTATTCACTCATAATCTTCCCCTCTAGGAAGCTAACTGGTAATCATTGCAACTGTATTATTGAGTCAGTGAGACAAGAACTGATTGAGTCTAATTTGTGAACAGATCATTCAGGGAGGTTTCAAATGATTCATTAAAGATCTGACTCAAACAAATTCTTTGTTCACAATCACAAACTAATATCCTTAGGGCAGATGTTAAGATTTTTCCCTGCAATTAATAATTAATTGTAGTGACTAGATCAGAGTCAGTAAGTCAGAGACTGATTCATTCTGATTTGTGAATGAAACTTTCTGTTTTTTTAAACCATTGAAATTAGTCATTGAAGATCTGACTCAAAATAATGATTTGTTTACAATCACAAACTAATGTTTTTTGGACAGATGTTAAGGTTTTCCCCTCCAGGTAACTGCTAATCATTGCAAACGGATTATTGTCTCAGTAAGTCAGGAACTTATTCATTCTGATTTGTGAACACATTTTTTTAACCATTTCAAATGATTCATTGAAGGTCTGATTCTTGACAAACCAAATGATTTGATCACAATCACAAACTAAGTTAGGGCAGATGTTTTGATGTTCCCCTCCACTCCACTACTGATCGTTGCGACTGGATCATTAAGTCACTAAGAACTGATTCATTTTGGTTTGTGAATGAATCGTTCAGATTTTCTGAATTATTTCAAATGATTCTTAGAAGATCTGATTCAAAAGAATTTGTTCACAATCACAAACTAATGTGGTCAAGATAGATAAGGGGTCTCCAACCTTATGTAATTTGAGAGCTACTTTTTAAAAATGAAAGTGGCTGTGAGCTACCCATGTTTTATAATGCTTAAATTTCTTAAATAACTCATCAATCCAAACTTTTATACATGGTATTATTAAAATGTGATGGAAATGTACACTGAAGTCATTTCACCATGTTTTATGACGAAAACCAACAAATAAAATTAGCAACACTACGCACCTTTTGATTGCATAAACTTTTAAATAAAAACATAAAAAATTATGGCATGTATGTACAACATGCACAACATGTACAACATTTTATAAAATTATAATATGTATAAAATGATAAACCTCACATTTCAGCCTCTAAATCTTTTTTTTTTTATGAAAAGGATGAGTCAGAATGGTGAATAATATTTTATCTGCTCCATAAACAGTTCTACGTTAGCTAATATGCATTCTTAAAATCTCAACACTTCAGATAACAAGGGAGGCTATTTTCCATCGACAAGTTAAGATTTACAACAAATATTTAGGTCAAATTTTCACATTGGTTTCAGCAAAAACAGCAGGCAGGCTGAATGAATGAAAATGTAAATCCACTGTCTGACAGCAGGTGGCACTTAAGTAAAAGCAGAAATAGAGCTGTTTCCCGGTAACCTCTGTTAACAAAGCAGCGCTGCACTTATAAACACTACTTTATTACGCATTACACGGTGGGAAGAGGAAAAACAAATGCCATCGAAACTTTTCTGAAGACAGTCGGTTCCCTATTATACATTCATACAATTAATTCAATTATATATTCTTTCATATAATTTCTTTCAGCAGTCTGCCTTATGTCATGTTTTTTCACCAAAACGAAACCTACTCTGCGTGTTGCACCTGTTTGAGACTCTTACTAACTTTGCATAACGCTGAGCAGTAATATCAATCAAATACGGGTTTAATGATAATTAAAATATGAAATGGGATAATTAAAATAACCTCACGGCCGGTATGTCAAAACATAATTAATTTGCATTGGAGGGGGTGGGACACCTGTCTATATTAGCTCACTCTGATTGGATGAAAAATACGTCTTGGCGAGCTACCTCCAATCAAGCTACTGGTATCTCGTGAGAGATGTGTTGGAGTAAAGGAAAAGAGCAACTGGCACATTTCTCAGAATGTCTTCTTTCTGTTCTACCAACAAAAGTCATACAAGTTTAGAAATGACATGAGGGTGAGTAAACAGAATGTGAATTTTTGGGTTGGAGCTGTTTTTAGCTGGATTTTCCAGCAGGCCCGTCATCTTAGTTTTGCTGTTGTTTTCTCACTGCATGGCTATGAGCTGCTCTGTCTAGCGGCCAGTGCCCTATTTAGAGCAGCATGTGTCTGTTGATGCCACATGCATATGCAGTCTCAGGGAAAGCTTGTTGACCTTGATTGGGATTCCATGGAAACCGAGGAACACGGCTGAATGGGAGCATGTGTGGATGCATCTGGGACGACTGTGGGTTGAGAAGCACAGCTCAAGGGAATCCAGCCGTCATCTTCACATGGTGTATTTTTATCAAACCATCTTTGTCAACAAATGTCCCAGTCACTGTTGACAGCTGCTGCTGATGCTTGAGGGGCGGCGATGGAATATAAGTGGAGGCTGAATAATGAAGTCGGCTGATGCTATCTGACCCGTTGACTCTAGAAGTCTGGTTATAATTTCAGATGAATATGTCTTAAGTAATCATAGGCTTTGTTCATATTTCCAAATCTGATTTGGTTTCAAATCTTCAGGGCTGACTGTTGGTGCTTTCATTTTGCAAATGATATTATCTGATACTTTTATTCAGATATTGTTGTGAATATTCACTGTTCTTTTTCTTTCCTAGATTCTACATCGAAAAAGGCTTTCATAACAGAGGTACGTTCCTTTAACACATATCAAGAATCTCTATTGTTAGACTGCAAGTGAACCTGTTTATGCAGGGATTGCAGTTTGGTGGTGTCTCATATTTTCACTCTTTACACCAGATGCCTTCATCGTCAGGCCAGCCGGCCCATGGGAAGAAGATCGGACACAGAGGTGTGGATGCTTCTGGAGAAACCACATATAAGAAGGTGCATTGCGCCTATTCAGTTTCAGCAACTTTTTCTAGATTTGATTCCATTCCGATTATTTTAGTTACTTCTAAGGATGCATAAAATTCTGGAACCATATCAGCCAATATTCTACTTCTAATATTCTTTTGTGTAATTTTTTAATGTTTTATATTGGTAGATATTGTATATTTAATTGTACATGCTCATTTTCTCTCTTTTTACATTTAGATTGCCTTTGCCATAATCTAACGTTAACCTGAAATTAATCAGTTTCAACAACTTTTTCTAGATTCAATATTGATTCCATTTAGATTATTTTAGTTACTTCTAGGGATGGACAATATATTGGTACCATATCAGCTGATATTAGCTGTTTTTTTTTTTGTCTTACAGTTTTTTTATTTGAAAAAATCTAAAATATTTGCTTTTTTTTACATTTTATATCGGTTAATATTATATATTCAGTTGTACATGCCAGTTTCCTCTCTTTTTACATTTGGATTTTACATTACAAAATAATGTTGAATTTAAATTTTGACCATTCATCAGTTATCGGGCATAATATATAGAAAATAACTGTATATATATAATAATAATATACAAATTATTTATTGGTTTATCTGTATAGACCAGAATTGCAATATTGCTAATAAGCTCAGCAGAAACGTGGCACTAGGTGAGATCAAAACAGAAAATACAGAAGATAAAACTTTGGGTTTAGGGTTAATACTTATGTGACTCACATCATCCATATCAATGTGACACATCCTCCATATTCTCTTTAGACCACATCTTCAGCACTCAAGGGGGCCATTCAGCTAGGGATTGGCTACACGGTTGGCAACTTGAGTTCCAAGCCTGAACGGGACGTCCTCATGCAGGATTTCTATGTGGTGGAGAGCATTTTCTTCCCCAGGTGCGCTATCTGTCTGAGGTTGAGGGTGGATGTGGAATTTCACATGCAATAAATTATCTTTTCTTTGTTCTTCCAGTGAAGGGAGCAACTTGACACCAGCCCATCATTTCCCAGACTTCCGTTTCAAAACCTATGCTCCTGTCGCCTTCCGTTACTTCAGAGAGCTCTTCGGGATACGGCCGGATGACTATTTGGTGAGAAATATAAGCTAAAGGCTGGATTTTATAATAAATGCTCGTATTTATTCAGGACTCATTGAATTCATTGGCATTGTTCATGTTTGTGTTCGTCTTTAGTATTCGCTCTGTAACGAACCACTGATCGAGTTGTCCAATCCGGGAGCCAGTGGCTCAGTCTTCTACGTCACCAAGGACGATGAGTTCATCATTAAGACAGTCATGCACAAGGAGGCGGAGTTTTTGCAGAAGCTTCTTCCTGGATATTACATGGTGAGTTGCTGTACTTTGACGGATGCACTTCAAATTAGTGGACAACTATTATAGGTTTTCAGTGTCCAATGCCTATATCGGACATTGAGCTGGGTGTATATATTATGCAACACTTATATATTGCATGATATAGTAATGATATGTAGCCTATATAAAAGGGAAATGCTTATTTTAGACAATATTAAATTAATTTTACAACTGACACAATGGTAATAAACTAATATTTATGGTCAAATATCAGCCGATTATATGCCAGGCGAGTATTTATCGACTTTTTACATTTTTCAGCTACAAAAATTTCTCTTTAAATATACAGTTTATGTTATTTTGTTACTTTTTGAGAAATTGTATATTGGACCATATAGTTTTTTGACTGATATTAGAATTTATCAGGCAACATTTTAAGCAAATATTTAGTGTTTTATTTTTTATTAATTCAGACAATAAATTATCGTCTGTTTGCCAGAACATTAAAATAATTAATGGACAAAATGTTATTATTGTTGCATCCTTATTTGAAACTAATGCGTAGTTTTAACATCCAATACCGATCGAGAGAGCAGGGTAATAAATGCTGCATGATATAATAGTTTAATTATATCAAAAAAATATGTAGCATAGATAAAATTGCTGAAACACTTATTTTACATTATATTTAATGCATTTCAGAACTGACACAATGGTGAACTAATATTTATGGCCAAATATTGGCTGATTATCTGCATGGCCAGTATTTTTTGGTGTATCACTGATACAGACCTCTACTATTTACATTTCTGAGCTACAGTAATTTCGCAGTAAATGCATAAGTTATGTTGTTATTTTGTTAGTTTTTGAGAAACAATATATCGGTACCATATTGGTTATTGACCGATATTAGAATTTATTAAATGTTTTATGCAAAAATGTTTTTGTTTAAATTATTAACACTGTTTTATTTAAAAAAAATTTGGTTATTGGCCATAGCGTGAAAATAATTATCGGCTTACTGGTATCAGCCAGAATTTGATTATATTTACATCCTTTTTTGAAATTAATGGTCAACCGATATTGGCTTTCAGTGTCCGATACAATATCTAGAGAGTAGATTGGCTTCAGTATCTGTATTCTGCATGATATAATACATTGTAATGATAGAAAATAAGTTGTAGCCTTAACAAAATTACGTTATATTTAATGTATATATTAGTTTATCAGCCTGGCCGATATATCGGTATATCACTAATGCAGACCTTTATACGTTTTTCAGCTACAATAAGGTTTAAGCTAGGATAAAATACACTGTTTATGGTGCACTGTTTAATATTCTGTACTTTTTGAGAAACATGCTTCCCAGCCTATTATCACATGCTGTCACAAATCAACCGCCTGGTTAAACAACAACACTGCTGATTACCCAACAAGCTATTTTGAACTAATTTCTCCTGAGTCGATATGTCTACTATTTACCCGAATAACGAAACAAATGACACAATTAGCATGTAAGCCGTGCTCGTTCCAGCTTTCTGTCTCCAGTGGACCATTTTAGTCCACAGTATAAGTACAAAAGTGTTCGGTTTCCAAGAGAACATGAGTTTTTTTCAGTAGATGATGCCTAAATGGGTTCTCAGTGTCAGCAGAGTCTAACCAGTGACTGGCTTGGCTTGTTCCATCCATTCATCTGGAGCTAATTAGCCCATGAATGGTGATGGATCAGTTGTTGTTTAGCAACAATGCTGACCTTGGCCAGTTCGTGGTCTACAGAAACCTGTCTTTATTACTGTCTAGCTCTTTTCCTCATTCTGTTTCTCTTCTTTGATCATATCTTGTAGGACATGTCACCTATGCGAAGGTGATGCGTGTCACAAAGCTTTTCTAGGTTGGATATCCGCTTCATTGCTTTGCCTTTGTGTGGTGATTTTTAATAGGATTTAAACTCCAAACTAATTGGAATCAGGTGGTTTTATTACTCTCTGGAACATTAGCTGGCAAAATGAATGTCATTGACTTAAGGAAGGTGTTTTGTGGTGTTGAAATGGAGTGTTTTGTATCTGGAATGTGAAAAAACAAATAACTTTTACTTCAATTTAATGCATAAATGCTTTTAATATACTTGGATTAACAAAAGTGTGATTTGCATGCTATATAAAAACTCATTTTTTGACTGTTAGTGGGATTTTGTAACAATAAACAGATGTGCGTTGCAATATTTTTAAGAACAGATCATTGAAAAAAATTTTGCTGTCATTTATTCATCTACATACTTTTCCAAATCTGTGTGACTTTCTTTTTTCTGTAGAACACAAAAGGAGATGTTTTAAAGAATATTCACGCTTCACTTTTCCATATTGTGACGCCATCAAGATTCAAAAAATGTCAAAAAAGCTAAATAAAAGTATCATAAAAGTTATTTTTGTGTGAGGAAAAAGCCGAAAAATGATTTGATGAATATCTAATTTTTGTTTTCACATATTCAGACTTGAGTTGCAAGTTCCTCAAACTTAAAATTTGAATAAAAATGAATAAATAATGACAAAACTGTAATTTTGGGGCAAAATATTTCTTTAAAGAATAATAAATTAATTGGAAAAGGCTGAAAAGTTGTTCTTTGCTAAATATCTCATTTCAGGGTTTCTGTGGGTCTTAAAATGGTCTTTAAAAGTATTCACCCTTCCACAAATTAAGCCCTAAAAGGTCTTAAATCAGAGCTGAAAGACTTCAATTCATAAAGTCATGGCATTAAATGTTGTATACACTGCAAAAAAAATTTCAAAAATCAAAACTATTTTCAAACGTTTGAAGCATTGTTAATACAAGACATTTACTTTTAGAGACCATGTTGACATATTGTGTTCAATTCAATTTATTTATAAAATTTTCTTTACTTAGTCTTAAAAGGGTCTTAAACATTCAAACTTTACCTTCAGAAACCCTGTCATTTGTATTTTCACATATTTAAACTTATATTGCAAGTTCGTCAAACCTGGCACAACAAATTTTGTCACACAGAATTTCAATATCGGGTGAATAAATGATGACAGATATGTAATTTTAGAGTGAACTATTCCTTTAAAGAATAAATACTTTTCACAAAGCATGTAACCAATATAAATGTACACGATCTTCCACTGATGTTTAGCACTGCATGGATGACTTACGTTTGAATCTTTGTTGACTAAATCGTATTTGATTTTTTAAATGTTTGTTTGCTGCAGAACTTGAATCAGAATCCTCGCACCTTATTGCCCAAGTTCTTCGGGCTGTACTGCGTACAATCGGGCGGGAAGAACATTCGGATGGTGGTCATGAACAACGTTTTGCCCAGGGTGGTGCGCATGCACCTCAAATACGACCTGAAGGGATCCACCTACAAGCGACGGGCCTCTAAAAAAGAGCGGGAAAAGGCGAGGCCCACTTTCAAAGACCTTGATTTCATGCAGGACATACCAGACGGTCTCATGCTGGATACAGACACGTACAATGCCCTGGTCAAGACGTTACAGAGAGACTGTTTGGTAAGTTCTCCACAGTGTGCTGCTGTCTAGAGTGGACATGCCATTCAGAACGAAAATTGATGTGTTTTTGGTGTTTAGGTCTTGGAAAGCTTTAAGATTATGGATTATAGTTTGCTGCTGGGAGTTCACAACATTGATCAGGCGGAGAAAGAGCAGCAGGTGGAGGGATCTCAGGGCAACAGTGATGAAAAGAGGCCGCTGGCACAGAAAGCACTCTACTCCACTGCCATGGAGTCCATACAGGGAGCGTCGGCCTGTGGAGAGGAGATTGACACCGAGGACACGTGAGTGGCCGAAATTAGTCCACGTTTTGACACATATAAAGGATATTTAAACAGATATGTGGCACATTTTCAGATGCATCAAAAAAATATGATAAAGTAACGGATGCAATGACAAAATTTTGGCCGATATGATGAAGCTTAGTAATTTTTCTTCATGATATTACTGATAACCGATTCATGGAATTCTATACTATTTTGATACTTTTTTTCTTTCTTTTATAAAATCTGAATTTGTGTTTGTAATCTTTATAAAACCTGGATAAAATTGAAGTCCTGTCCTGTTAGATATCCTGTTTCATCTGGAAATGAATGCTATGGAAGCTAAAAAAAAAACACTTTTTTAGAAGTGAAAAGAAACGTTTTTTATTTTTGCTTTGTTTTGTGTTTTTATTCTCTTTACTTTTTTATTTGATTTGATTCTATTTAGACTTTATCAGTCATTTTTTTCTCTGAAATGATTTTTTAAGATTTAGCTAACTTTGGGAAACAAAATTAACATGCTTTTCAGCATGTTTCTGTTTTTATTTTGCCTGAATAAATAAAACGTGTTTTTTCCTTGAATTTGTGTTTGTAATCTTTATAAAATCTGAATAAAATAAAGTGTCCTGTTAGAGATCCTGGTTCATCTGGAAATGTGTCACATTATAGAAGTAAAAACCTGCAAACAACAAATTCATGTTGACTAAACAAACAAACAAAAAAAATTTAGAGGTGAAGACATTTTTGTTTTCTTTTGTGTTTCCTTTTCTGTTTTCTGTTTTGTTTTTATCTTATTTTTATTTTATTTTGTTTGATTTTATTTAATATTTATATAAATACAGATTTTTAGAAGTGAACAGACATATTTGTTGTGTTTGTTTTTTTTTTGTTTTGTGTTTTCTTTTTCTTTCTTTTTATCTTTTTTTTGTTTTGTTTTTTTTTTGCTTTTTTTTCCCATTTCATGTTTATTAGCAATTTTTCTTCTTAAAGGAGTTTTTTTTTTTTAAGATTTAGCCAACTTTGCTAAACACTTTTCAGCACTGTTGCAATTTTGTTCCCAAAGGTATAGCTACATGTTTAATTTCAGTATTTAGCAAGGTTTATACTTTTTATTTATTTTATTATTATTATTATTATTTTTAAAGCTTTCATAGTTATTTATTTGCTTATATTTTTTGCCTGTCAGGATGGGTGGTATTCCTGCAGTCAATGGAAAAGGAGAGCGTCTGTTACTCTACATTGGAATAATCGACATCTTGCAGTCTTACAGGTGCTTGCGTCAATCTCTCCGACTCATGTCACTTACTATTTACATCATGAAGTGTGTGATTCATTGCTGCCAGTATGATTTGGAAGCACCATGGAATTACTTTTTTTGTTTTCTGTTTAGGTTAATAAAGAAATTGGAGCATACGTGGAAGGCTCTAGTCCATGATGGGGTAAGAAATACATTGAATTTCATTGACTATCGTCTAGAATAGACCTTTTGAAATACATCAACACCATTGTCCCTTGCAAGACGCTCCATTTCATCACTTTGGATGAAAAGCTTTGGCCAAGTCAACATTCAGCTGTGTTTTCAGACTCTGTGGTCTTCGACCTCCACTATAATTCCTCCTACTTCCTTCATTTTCATATTAATAAAGCATGATCTGCTGCGGTACAGTAGCATGAATGGGGTTTAGTGACAATTACGGGGTTTTGGAGGAAATGCTTGTGAAATGCACTAATTTGGGGCCGTTTTTTCTCAGAGTTTGTGCTAATTGTGCTATTGCTGGATATGAAGCGTACATGCATGTACCACACACACACACACACTAATTTTTCTCTCGGCTCAGCAGTGAATAACGGAGATTTCTCCAACCCTGCCCATACTGCGAATGGCTCACGGTTCATTTGCATGCTAATTAGGTGTTATTTATAGACCTAGAGCTGGTGTATCTTGATCACGTCAGCTGGAGGTGACAGATATATATTACCTAAAGGTTGACTGGTTGTCTCCAGGAATAATGTATGTTAAACTGGAAACTGTCATGAGAAATTTGTAAATATGAATTTAGTTTGTACTTTGGCTCTCCAGTCAAGCATATGTTGACAGTATATTGTAAATTAATGCATGTTTTTGTATGATTTACATGCGTAATGTAAACAAATGTGACAGGTCCAATGCTATTTAAGCTCTATCACAGAAGTTTTACCACAGAATCATTTTAATTTAAGAATCAGAATTTGATTTAAAGCCTGCATGGAAATTATTAGTATTGAACAAACTGTTATTTTTTCATTTTGTCAACGGGAATAAGTCAGAATGTACTGTAATTTTTCAGATTGATTCTGATGGTTCACTTATTCTGTCTCACTTTCACTCTTTAGGACACAGTGTCTGTTCACAGACCGTCTTTCTATGCGGACAGGTTCTTCAGGTTCATGAGCACTACTGTATTCAGAAAGACTTCCTGTGAGTGAACTGATTCTGAGTTGAACTTATACTGCTCAATTTCATAGATTAATTTCATGTTCTGCATGAAAAATTATTGATAAAGTAATAGCGATGCACCGATATTGAAGTTCTGTCTGATGCCGATAAATATTTCTTTTAAAAACCCGATAACCGATAAATGGCTCTTGATAAAATTCTACAGTATTTGGTCCAAATAAATTACAAATAAAACGCTTAACACTAAAATTAATGATATTAAATGCTACAAATGAATTTAGGCATCACAGCATTTTAATGTACAGTAGGAAAATGGATATTCAATCGATAGTTATGCTGTACGATTTGCTAAAGATTACATTTAACAGTGTTAGTAAATTATATTATGAAATACTAAAATTTCTATAACTAAAAAATAATGAAAGCTATATAGAAATATAAAAAAGATTTTTAATAAATAAATATTTTTAAAAAACAAAATAACAAAAGCACAACAAAATTACCTAAACTTAATTTAAAACTGAAAATATAAAAATGAAATCTAATTCAAAATCTTAACGAATATTATAATAGTATAGAAATAATACTAAAATAGCACTGCATACAACAAAAGCATGAAGTGAACATGAGCTGTCAAACAGACAAAATCATTAGTGTCTTTAAAGATTAACTTTAAGTGAGCATTAGATAATGGAAAAGGTAATCCAAATAAAAAAAGATGAAATGAGCATGTACAAGTAAATATCTGGTATTGATCAATTTTATAAATCTGTAATATCGGCCGATAACTGATACAATTTTGATATATTGTGCAACCCAAAAAGGTATTTTAAAAATAACATCTAAAATTTAAATGCCACTTATCATGTCACCAAATAAAAAGACAAGTTAGTTATTATCTAGTGGATATCATACTACAGTTGATATTTATTTTTAGAGAAAAATTAAAGCCACAGTGTTTACAAGTTTTCAGGAAGATCCTAACCTTAACCCTGCTAATGAAAGAAATGAAATACTTAATTTGTGCTTATGATATTGAACCTGTTTTAAAATTGAAGTACATTTGTAAACCTGTTTCTTTCAGCACTGAAATCCTCTCCGTCAAAGAGGGGTCGTGGGGGTCTGGCTGCGGCCAAGTACAGCGGTCCCGGAGCAGCCTGGTCGGCCAGCCAGCTGCCATTTGTGAGAGACGATAACATCTACGACCTGAGAGGAACCCGAAGCTTCCCCACACTGGAAGATGATGGTAAACAATAGACAAAGTACATTCTTTGTTCTCAGCCATGTGGACTTCATGACTTTAGGCACATTTTTAAATTCGACCCCGTTTCAGGTCGGACGGATGTGCTTCCCTGCACCCCTCCCTCGTTCGAGGAGGCCACTACAGCCTCCATCGCCACCACGCTTTCCTCCACCACCTCCCTGTCCATACCAGAACGCTCCCCATCAGACACCTCCGAACACCCGCGCTACAGGTAACACCCGGTCTGTCCATCTGTAATATTTCAGCGTCTCGGCCATAGCAGGTACAATAAACTTTCTGTTCTCTTCCGTACAGGAGACACACCCAGTCCAGCCATGAAGAAACGTAAGTCAAACAGAGACTAATTTGCTATCCTAGTTTCTATCCTGTAGTCTGCTTCCAAGACTTCTGAAGCCGTATGGTAGTTTTGTGACTGAAATGACCAAGTTTGTTTCCTTAGCAGACTTTACAATGTTTATTTCTCTCTTGGGCTTAATGGAAGAAGAACGATTCGTACCTTAGTGATGTTGTTCATGTGGTTTGGTTGAGCCCTCTGCTGGTGTTGTTGTAGAATGCAGGATGAGGACCAGCAGACCATCACAGTGGAGGTGGAAGTGGAGGGACGATACCACAGCGAACCCAACCTTGTGGCTCCCCAGGTATCGCCGGAGATCAGGTATGCACTCAAAACTGAGAATCTGCTTGCACGTAATATTTAATATTTACTTATGAAAGCCAAATATTGTTGGACATGTTGAAAAGAAGGTCTCGAAGTGTAATGAAATTAAGGGCGAGTCAAAAAAAAGATGATTTAAATGCAAATGCATTGTCGCTGAATCAAGAGCAGTGGGAATGAGGAATTAGAAATGTGCTCCATTAAGCTGAGCTCAACTGCCGAAGCTCCTTATAGTGATGGGAAAACGACACTATGGCAACTGCCACAGAGGAACATAACCAAACAGGAAGCGCTTAATCACACTGGCAATAAGTACCCAAATGTTTTTGTGTTAGTCAGGACCAGTGGCAGTACGCCCAAAAATATTATTTCTATAATAAATAGTAATATAACATGAATGTATAGTTAAATATATTTATTCCTTCTTTATTTAAATAATATTTATTTATTATGTAATTAAAATATTTATTATTTATTCATCCTCATTTTACTGCAAATCAATGTGACTTTTGAAGCTTTGAAGATATTTTGAAGAAAGTTCATGCTGCACACTTCCATACAAATATAGTACCACTAAATAAAATTAAAACTAGTAAAAATTACAGTTTTTGTAAATTGATTGAGCTAAAATAAATAAAATAAAATAAAATGTATATATTAGATGAAAAGCTTAAACTTAAAAAAAACTTACAAATGAGAAACGGAAATAAATAAATGAAAGTACTAAAATTACAAAAAAAACTAAAACTGAAATAAAAATAAATTATCCCCTTAACTGTCACCGTCCCACCTGTGGGACACTTGGCGCTCTTTTTTTGTTGTCCTTTTTCTCTGTCAAATCTTTGATTATATATAAAATAAAATAAAATGAATATAGTGCATTTTATTTAGAATAAATTTAAAATTCTGTAACTTTTTGATACGTTAATTTTTTGAATAAATTCAATTTTTGCAATAATCTGCTTTGGCCTGTATTCCAAAGTGTTCATAAATTACAACAATTTAAGTTTGGATAGTGCACTTTCATGCCTATTTTAAAAAATGGGGGGGTGACAGTTAAGGGTTTTTTAAAGCTGTATAGAAAAAATAATAATAATAATGACAAAGGCACATAACAAATTTACTAAAATGTAAGCAAAATTTAAAATGACAACTGAAAATATAAAAATATAAGTTAATTCAAAATATTCATGAATAATATAAATGTCTATAAATAATACTAAAATAGCACTGCATACTACAAAAGTATATAGTGACCATGGGCTGTCAAAAAGTGCCAAAAAAGTGGTCCATAAAATCTAGACTCTATATTCCAACTTTTCTGAAGCCATCCAATAGTTTTGTGAGAAGAACAGAGTGACGTTTGATGGTTTATTCCCTGAAAATCTCTAAATAATTTTTTTATTTTTCTCCTCCACATGTTTAGTGAAGCTGCAGAGACGTTTCTAGAAGCCTCATCCTCCTCTGTCCCGGCGAGCCCCAGGATAGTGATAGAATCTGACGGCGGCAGTCAGGCCTCGGGCTGTACAAGCCGTGCCTCTGTGGACGAGGATGATGATGTGCCAATTACAGACATTTATTTTGTAAGCCCTCCACTCCTCTGAACTAAATATATGTTGTTTTTAATAATGTTGTGTGGCTTTTATATAGAAAAATGCATCAGAGAAGAGTAAGAACCACCAAAGGTCAAAACATAAAAGAACATAATCAGATGTGTCTGCACTGCAAAAAAAAAAAAATGTATCAGTATTTTTTTGTCTTACTTGCCAATAAAATTAAGTAAACATTCTTAAACATGATAAATTTACTTGAAAACCAAGACTTAATAAGAGAATAAATCTTGGATCAAGTTTATTTTTCTTAACCCATTGTGAAATTGTTTTCTTCTTTTTAAAGCATAAATAACAATATTTAATGATGTTTCTAGTTAAAATATATATAAATTTAAAAAAACAATCCAATGCTGTAACTTTAAAATTCATGGTATATTCTATGATTTATTCTGAATTAAATGTATCTTGATTAAAGGATGTTTATATATTTTTACTTGAAAAACTTGGTAATGTTTCTCCAAAAAAAATCAAAAGAAAAAATAAGGAACTGTATATTGCATAAAGAAAAATGAAGCCTATTTTAGAACCAGAAGCATTTTTGCATTTTGCATTTTTATGACAATATTTAAAGAATATTTTCCACCAAATTCGCATTGACATGCTTATTGCTGTCATGCAAAAAGCAACAAGAATATATTATTTAAATTGTAAAGTATGTATACGTCATGTTAGTATTTGCTATATTTTTTATTTATACTGGTTCTTTTTTGTTTTTTACTTAATTACAGTTACAAGAATTTCAAAATTTCAAAAATGTAAGGCTTTCATACTTAACTGTCATGAAAATAATGTCACAGCAGTAATAAAAATAGGACTTTTAGATTTTATTCATGTAAGATCTAATTAAATTTTTGGGTGAATTTAACCATGACATGTTTTTGCTAGACTGTGAGATTCATCCAGTAGTAAACAGTGCTAATGTGACCAATGTTGGATTACTGGTAACTAAAGGAAACGTCTCCCAACACTAGATGTGTTTGTACGACAGAATCTCACAGAGGGTCTCTGTTGGCACGTGGGTGGGTGTTTGTGTGCCGAGGTGTTAGGAGCTCCGCTGGTCTTTATTTGTATCTTCTGCATGACAGTATAAGACCCATTGAAATGAAGTTCCAGTCCTTTTGTTTATTTCTAAATGCTGAGGATCATTGTGTGTTCATTTTGAATGACACCAGTACAATATACACATTCTGTCCCATGAATGACAAAACACATGGACGTGCCAATGCATCTACAGGGATGTCTCCGAGGACAGCCAAGAAAAACAGAGAAATAGCTATCATTATCATTTGTTTGACACATTGAGGCTCTTAAAATCGGTCGTGTGCTGAAAAGGGGCCTAGAGATGCACAAGCGCCACCTCTTGAATTATTCATCCATTAACACCCTGCACCTTCGCTCTTTCCTCTTATTAATGGAGCTGTCGATTTTTTCATTTATCGACTGCTAAACAGCACTTCATCTCCTTGACTTTTTCATTACCATTCTGCCATCTTTCATTATTTGTCTTCCATCTCTGTTTGTCCATGTCTCTTGTAAGTTCTCTGATGGCAGCGTCTGTGTTTGTCAGCCCGTCACACACAGAAGAAGGCACATTGTAAGTTTTATAACTGAAACACTTGAAACTAGTTTTAGAGGTAGTTAATCAGAACAAGTTAGCCTCTGAAGTCTGCTGTATATCTAGACTATTGTAGCTGTTTTTGTAACCTTTGACTGTTAGAATTAAACAGGCTGTTGTTGTTACTGTACCTTTAAGACTTATGTATGCAAATGAGCCCACCATAACAAGTGTGAAATTGTTTTGAAAACTTGAGGTAAATAATTGCAGCTGCTCAGTATATACAGCCGTATAAGTCGCAGCTTCAGATTACAGTAAGCTGTTTCAACATTGTGAAAATGACAGGGTTGTTTAAACTAAAATCATTAAAAAAAAATTTTACTTTAAATAAAATAATTGTTAAGTGAAATATAATAAAACGAAACTTAATTTCAGCTAGTTTCCAAGGCAACATTTCTCGTTTTCATTTTGATGTAGTAGGATAACTAAAATCAAAATACAATTTTATAAAAACTATATCGAGATATATATAAATAAATGAATAAAAATGTCAAAAATGCACAATAAACATTTTTAAAACTTTAACTAAAATTACTTTAAAGAAAATATATATATATAAAAAACTAATTAAAAAATGTACTAAAAACATAAAATGATAAAAAAATCTCAGTTATTCTAAAATAACACTGGAAAACGTTTAGCTAGTATTTGTAATGTAATTTTCCATTATTGTCCCCTTCAAAAACTAGTCTTGGAGTCATACACAACTGCATAATATTTCTAAGACACAGGAAACATTGTCACACAATCAAGCGACATAAAATTACCAAAAAATCACTCCATTATTAGTTTACTAGCTACTAGTGTTATATTAACAAGCTTCTCGCTCGTTAAAATGTACTAAATATTTTTTAATCACTCTTCCTAGTAATAGCATATATTATTTTAAAGAATGTTTTATAGTCTAATCAAAATATAACAACTTTCTCTACAACTGAAACAACTTTTCTTCTCTGCTGATGTAATGAAGGCCGTATGGGCGGGGACAAATAATAGTAGCCAATTATATCAATGCTTGCTTTTTGCTTTCCAATCAAATCCTGATGGATAAAATTAAGTCCCACCATGCAATATTTTTCATTGTTTATTCTGTTTCACATGGAAATACCTTATATGGTAAGTAAACTGTGTCGCGAGTCCCGTTTTTTTTTTATGTTGTCGTTACGAAATCTATTCGTTTGTGATTGTTTTTCTTTCCCTTCAAAGTTTCTCTTTTTTTACTCACCAGATTACAGCTTTTGTTAATTCATAAAATCTTGATTTTAATCTTTGAGCAGTGGCTAAAAAATATATACATTCCGATAAATTCGCATTGTATGTCAATCAGAATCAAAATCAGAGCTACTACTTTTCCAGCGTTATTAACGTTCACAGCAGATCGTTTACTAATCTCTCTTTCTTACCACTGCATTTCTGATATTCCTCACTCTTGTCTTTCTGTCTTTCTTCCTCTCTGCATGTTTCCACTGGCTGCCTCTGTGTGTCTCCACCCTTTCTGGCGCCCTCTGCTGTCTGGCTTGTGTAAAAGCAGCCTCCAGAAGACAAAGGCTGGGTATATTCTCCTCTGCACTTCAACTCAGGGCCTAAAACCCTGGCAGAGGATGAAGAGGAGAGTGAAACAGTAAGTGCGCGCTGTGTCGCGGTCGTCTTGGGTTCGTGATTCTTGATGTTGACTGTCCTTTGTCTGTTATTCCTTGCATATTAATTGCATAAAATTCCATTTTAATGTGTCCCAACAGTAATCAGACCTCGGGAAAGAGGGGCAGCTACAAGGTTTGAACTCTTCAGATGTCCTCATAATGTCCGGAAGCTCTATTGGTCGGATTTTTTCGCAACTTGAGCATCATTTTCATCGTCCTTTCACCCATTCCATAAACACCAAGCAAGTAGTAATACCAATGTCCAGACATATTTATGAGTAATAATGAAGATACTTGTTTAATTATTTTTTTGTTTTTCATTCATTGTTTAATTTACATACCGTGAACGTGTTTTGATTTGAGATCTGGGATTCAAGACTGTTCCCAAGAGTGGGCTGTGCTTTATTATTTGTATTTGTATTTATTAGTGTTTTTTTGTT